AAATACAATTGCTGTCTAGAAAGTACGTAGCCATGTGATATGAAAAATAGAGATATGTATGGCTGGACACCTTCCCAACATCCCTTGTATTTACCTTTAAGATATTGCTAGGTTTCAAGTTATTGCTTCATAATGAAGCTAAAAAACGAGAAGAAACAAAATAATACTCTGTTACAAAATCTATGTAAAGACAGTTGTCAAATTGTTTTGTGAATTTGATAAGAAGTAAATGAAAATGAGGAAGCAAAGTGTGAACTTGGAATGAGAAGTTGCAATGAAGCCGTGGGACATTGGTCATAAAGCAGTGGGTATAAACGCAAAAGAAGAAAACAACAAGATAGGAACAGTGAAGGTGACATTAGAGACACAGGCCGGGCTTAGCAGCAGCAGTTATCTCCCTGGAAGTAAGTGGATAAGAAAAGAAGACACATACCAGGGACATTGGGAGAAATGAGAATACAGGCTATAAAAATAATTAAAAAATATTAAGCTTTTATTATAGCTTTTATTTTGACTTGGGAAACATCATCCACAAGGATGAAACCTTTCCTCTATTCTTTGCTATTGTCTCTGTGCCTTGTTCATAACCTACTTCTATGGTGGTCTATGAAAGACTGTTCAGTTCAAGAATATCTCCTTTGATCTCTTGATTTGACCAGAGGCATTGACGTTAGATTCTTGTTCTTGGCTAGAGCTCAGCCTTAATGCATCATTTTGCTGATTCTAGAGAGAGAAGAATTAGGGTACAATATTGCACATATACACAGACACACAAGAACCCAACTGTCCATAGCACAACTAAAGTTCAATGAGACTAAAGTACACATCCAAGTTCAGTGGAAAGGAGATTAAAATCTTCAGCACACATATTTCCTCAGTTTTCATGTGGTTCTTTTAGAGATAAATCCACAACATATTAATGCTTCCCTACTATTTAAAAAAAAAAAACTATTTGCAAAGTGTGTATTTTAGAGTTATAGATTTGCTTGAGAAAGCAAAGATAGTGAAAAAATTGATTAATACTTTCGTAAATAGTAAATCTTCATCTTTCCTACTGACTCAGTTTGGGACTATTTTCCACTTTCCTAAAGTACTTGGCTAACATAGAATTAAATTTCATGTGTTGGTTTCTGGATTCCTGTGATGTTTCACTTGGAAGAATGGTCTCCAGTTCTATTCAGGTTGTCACAACAGATACTAGTTTGCCATTTGCCTTTATGGTTGAGTAGTACTCCATAGTATGCATATTCTACATTTTATTAATGCTGGGCACTGGGTTGTTTCCACATCTTTGCAATCATGAATTATGCTGTTATAAACATTTGAGGTGTCCTTTTTTATAAAATTACCTTTTTCCTTTTGGTATACACCCAGCAGTGAGATTCCTGGATCAAACAGTAGGTCTACCTTAAGTTCTTTGCAATATCTCCTAGAATTTTTCACAGAGGTTGTACCATTTTGCAGTCCTACGAAAAATGTTAAGAGTTCCTTTCTCTCTGCACCACATCAGCATCTATCATTTTGAGACTTTTTAATACAAGCCATTCTTGTTGGAGCTAGGCAGTATCTCAGTAGAGTTTTGATTTGCATTTCCCTAATGATTAGAGATGTTGAGAATTTTTTCATGAGTTAGCATTAGTATATCTTCATTTGAAAAGTTACTGTTCATGATTTCTCTCACTTTTTAATAGGTTTGTTTGGTTGTTTTTTGCTGATTTGCTTGAGTTCTTTATAGATTCTGGTTATCAGTCCTTTATCAGATGTAGAGAATGCAAATATTTTTCCCATTCTGGGGGTTCTCTATTTGCTCTTTTCATTGTGCCCTTGGGTGTGCTTTTTAATTTGATCAGGTTTCATTTATTTATTTATTTTTGTTGTTACTGTGATTGCTTTGGGGGTCTTCTTCATGAATTCTTTGCCTAAGATGATATCCATAATAGTTTTTGCAAGATTTTCTTCTAGAATTCTTTTAGTTCCCTGCCTTGGGTTTTAGCCAACATGAATTATTTATTTATTTATTTATTTATTTATTATTATTATTATTATTATGGTTATTTAGATAATCTCACTTGGTCATGTTGGGTAGAGTACCCTGGCATCATTGTAGCTCAAAGAAATCTCAAAGTTTCAACTCAAGTAATCCTCTTGCCTCAGGCTCCTGAGTAACTGGGATTATAGGCCTGTGCCACAATACTGGCTAGTTTTCTTCTTTTATCTTTTTTTAGTAGAGACAAATTCTCACTCTTGCTTAGGCTAGTCTCAAACTCCTAAGTTCAAGCAATCCACCTGCCTCACCCTCCTAGGCATGAGTCATCATGGCCAATCATGTGAGTTATATTTTGTGAGTGATAAGAGGAGTGGATCCTGTTTCAATTTTTTACGTGTGGCTATCCCCTTTTCCTAGCACCAATTATTCAACAGGGATTCTTATCTCCAGTGTATATTTTTATATGTCTTGTCAAAAAATTAGATAAGAATATGAGGATGGTTTTATCTCTGGGTTCTCAGAATACATAGGTCTAAGTCTCTGTTTTTGTGCTGTTTTGGTTACTATAGCCCTGCAGTATAACTGGGTGTCTGGTAAAGTGCTACCTCTCACTTTGTTCTTATTATGTAAGGTTGTGTTGGGCATTTGGGATTTATTTCTGGTTCCATACGAAGCATTGACCTATTTTTTTCTACATACAAAAAATAGTATTGATATTTGTATGGAATTGCATTCAATCTGTAAATCAGTTTGGGTGGTACAGCCATTTTATTTTATTTTAATTTTTTTGTGCTTTGATGGATTATCTCACTTAATACATATGAGACTCTGTGTAAGGTAGGCATCATTAGTATGGCTGGTGTGATCATGAGGAATATGAGGTAAAGATATTAAACAACTTGCCCCATGTTTCACAGCTAGTTTGTGGTTGAGTCAATATTGTAGCCCTGGTAATTTGATTTTAGAGTTCATGGACCTGAGCACAGAATGATACTGTTTTTTCTGCCCCACATGAGAGTTATCTTGCTGGTTTAAAATGTGGTCTAGTTGGTCTTTTCCTTAGCTTTTGGCATTGTTGTAAAAAATAGAAGTTATACTTTAACAAAGATGAAAGCATACAGATTGGTAATAATATCTTAAGTGTATCAAGTAGAATAGGAGTTTATTATATATTCAAATGATTTATAGTTCTTGTGCTCACTTAGATATTTCAATTGTGTTTAAAGAAAGGGAAAAGTGAAAAGGGATTGAAAATCTTTGTCTTACTTCTTGCTGCCACAATAAAATGCCTTAGTCTGGGTCATTCACAAACAGCAGCATTTAATTGTTTTCAGGACTGGATATTAGACAGTCCCAGACAAAGGAGCCAGGAAATTTGGAATCTGGTGAGGATTATTTCCATTCTTCTTCTGGGTTTTGGATTGGTCTTTCTTTCCCAATACTTGAGATGATTCATTAGATTGTGATTTGAATTTTTTTCTGTCTTTTGGATGTGGGCTTTTAAGGCTATGAGTTTTCCTCTCAGGACAGCTTTTGCTGAATCCCAAGGATTTGGTCCCATTGTAATTTTGTTCAAGGAATATTCTCACTTACATCTTTATCTCTTAATTAATGCAACATCATTTGGTGTTTGGTTGTTTAGTTTCCACAACTTTATATGGGAATGACTGTTTCTGTTGGAATTGATGACTTATTTTATTCTACTGTGATATAATTTCAAGATATAATTTCTACTATTTTATATTTGTTGAGATAAATTTTATGTTCCAGGATATGATCAGTCTTTGACAATGATCCATGTGCTGATAAGAAGAATGTTTACTCAATCATTTGGGGGTAGAATGTTCTGTAAATTTCTGTTAGATGCATGTGTTTTGGAGTGTTGTTTAGAGTCACCATTTCTTTATTGATCTATCCAGTTCTATATGGTGTTTAAGTTCCCGGCCATTATGGTGTTTCTGTCTATCATTTTGTTTAGTTTGAGTAAAGTTTGATTTACGAAGGTGGGTGCACCTTTGTTGAGTGAGTAAATGTTTATGATTGCTAAGTCTTCCTCCTGAATTATAGAGTGATCATCTTTGTATTTCTTTACTTTGATTGATTTAAATCTATATTGCCTGATATGACAATGACTATACCAGCTTTCTTTTGCTTTCTAATTTTGTATGGAGCATTGTTTTCCAGCCTTTTATTTTAGTCTAAATGAGTCCTTGTGGGTTATATGTATTTCCAGGAGATAGCAAATACTTGGTTTGTGTTTCCTTAACCATTCGCCAAGATAAGTGCAGAATTCAAGCTAGTCACATGTATTGAAATTGAAGATATGTGTGATAACTTTTGGTTCATTTTGTTGGGTAGACTCTAATTGCTTTCTAAAGCCATTGGTTATCTGGGCTCAGCACTTTAGCTTTGGGGTGATTTTACACTTGTGGGTGTCTGTTGTGCTGATCAGTATATAATGCACATGTGATTACCTCCTGCAGGGTAGGTCTGGTCTTCACAAATTTCCTCAGCAATTGCTTACCTGTGAAGATATTTCCTCTCCCTCACATGGAAAATGTAGTTTTGCAGGATATAAGATTTTAGGCTGGCCATTACTTTGTTTTAAAAAACTAAGGATGGGTCCCCAGTCCCTTCTGGCTTATAGACATCAGTGAGAGATTTGCCATTAATCTCATCGGTTTTCCTTAGTAAGTTACCTGATATTCTTCCTTTACTGCTCTAAGGATGACCTATGTTGTGCCAGCTTAATGATTATATGCTGTGGTGATTGCCTGTTCACAACAAGTCCTCCAGATACTTTGTGCTTTTTCCATTGGGATATTTAGAGTTCAGTAAAGGCCAGGAAAATTCTCCTCTCTTATTCACTCAAATAAATCATCCCACTCTTGAATATTTTCTTCTTCACTTTCA